AGCTTCATTCTTCCCTCTCACTATCTTTCTTCGTATAATAGAAGTGTGACTACTGATACCTCCTGAGCTTCTCAGCTTACAATGTTGGCTACCTGCAGAGCGACCATCTCAACTCTCTGGGCCCTAAGTCCAAGACCAATGGGAAAGGACTCACTTGGGCCACAAGCCTTCTTCTAGATCAGTCAACTGTAGAAAGAGGAGGGAGAAATGGGTGTGTGAAATTGTATCATATCATTGCAGCTCCCGAGAGAACAATTTAGATGGAATGAAGGAAAGGGGTTCTCAGAAGAAGGAGGCAGTCCTGAGAAAAGAACTGAATCTACGATAGTATTATTGGGAAAAAAAGAGTATGAGAACTAGATGATGAATAGGAACTAATGTTGGACATTTTATGTGAGGTAAAGGGAGAAAAGGAGGTCTGGGGATTTCATTGAGAAAGTAAAGAAACATTCATGTGAAACTTCAGGTAAAAAAACATAATCAAAATGTCAACAAATAATATGACTCACTTCCTTTTGACTGCTTTGGTAAAAAACAAATAGATGAAACAAAAATGGCACAATGCTAATATTAAAACTAGGTGATGGGTATATAGAGGTTCATTATTCTAGTTTTTATATTTGATAATTTTCCATTATAAAACGAAAAAATAATCAAATTCCAAAGTGGATTACTAAAAAGAAGTAAGCAGCATACAGGAGAAAGATTAGTCAACTCAGATAAAGAAATTTCATAAATTTAGAGATATTAGAAATGAAAATGCCTTTAAAATCCTACAATGTTACAATGCAATCTTTTAAACTTTGCTCCTGGTTCTGCCACTAACAATGTGTGTTTGGGTAAATCACCAAAATTCTGTGAGACTTAGATATTTTTATTTGTAAAATGAGAAGACTGGTTTAGCTGATCTCAAATATTTTGTGTCAAACTGACTCAAAGCCAGCATTCAGGTATCAAATCCCTCAGGTAAGAAAAGAGTATAAAAAAGTGAGTCAACCCTACTCGCCTGGCATTCAAGATTCTTTATGCTCTGGCTGCAACTGAACTACTGTCCTCTATGCACTTTTTTTTCTCCCTCTGCACACTTTTCACCCCAGTCATTTCATCTGTGCCTGGAATGTCTCCCCTCCCATCTCTAACTCATGAAATCATGTTGCTCTTGTAAGGCCCATCTCAAAAGTTATCACTTTCATAATATCTTACTGAATTCCTTAAGAAGATTTGACATCTCTGCTCACTAAATCCTATATTGCTTTTTGAATTTGTCATGTGGAATATACCAGATTTTACTTTTTATTATCTCTTTTTGGTCTTTTAATTACCTTTGAAAAATATTTTCCTTTCGACTAGACTATAAACTCCTGAAGAGGAGGGATCATGTCTTTTTAAATTTCATAGTCTCAAAGCATTAGCACAATAACTTACATAAAAAGATTCTTAATAGTATTCGATTCACTGTAAAAGGTAGAAACAGGTTTAGGCAAAACTGTGAGTCAGTTATTTTGCCACCAAACTCTTATTGGCATAAACTAACCTTTTTTCTGAAACTATGATGAGAGAATATGATAATCCATTTTCCAAATAAACTTTTGTTGTGATAAGATTTTCCCAGAAAGCTAAAACCCTGGCAGAAGAAAATGTCACTCAGGATTTCCTTTTTTTTTTTTTTTTTTTAGAGTTTATTTATTTATCAGAGAGAGAGAGACAGAGGCAGGCAGAGGGAGAAGGAGGCTCTTTGCTCAGCAAGGAGCCTGATGTGGGACTCGATTCCAGGACCCTGGGATCATGACCCGAGCCGAAGGCAGACGCTTAACCGACTGAGCCACCCAGGCATCCCACTCAAATGGAATTGTGATTATTTGGCATGTTTTGTACTACTATTTAGAGGTTAAAGTTGGGATTAGTACCTCCTCTGCAGGTTCTCAATTCAGGCAGCAAACATACAAGGAACAACAGCAGAATGGAAGGCAATGCTCTAAGTATCTGAGCAATGACTTGCTACCTCTGAAGGACTCTGGTAATCCTCAAATGGAGGGCATGATTTATGCTTGGAGTAGCTGAGCTAGGGTCTGCTGTCTGAGGGAAGCTGAAGAGTGACTCCTTGACTGAGCACTGCCAACCTGGTGGCATATAGAGCTTCTGTTAGTAAAGCATTGTCCAATGAATGTCTGGGGCTCTGTAGTTACTTTAGCAATTCCTTCTGTCTTGGTTTTGCATATGTGTGGATGGCCTGGTGGAGATGAAGAATGGTATTGACAAGGGGTGCCCCAGCATGGGAAGAGGCACATGATCTCTCTCCTCCTCAATACAATTTAAATATTTTGGACAATTTATTTCAAGTCATTTTTTATTTGCTTAGCTAAAGTATTTCTATGTCATTATTTTAGAGAAAAACATGTGATGATATACAGTTAATTCTTTTTTTTAATTTTTTTAATTTATTTATTCATGAGACACACAGAGAGAGAGAGGCAGAGGGAGAAGCAGGCTCCCAAAGAGCAGAGAGCCCGATGTGGGACTCGATCCCAGGACTCTGGGATCATGACCTGAGGTGAAGGCAGATGCTTAACCATCTGAGCCACCCAGGCGCCCTATATAGTTAATTCTTGATTATCCTTTTATTTCATTGCAGTTTAATCCAGAATATACCTACAAGTGTCATTCTGAAGTGACAATTAGGAATGTACCCAGGTATTTTCAAATTAAAGTTTAATTTTATAATGTGTGACTATTCTCGTGGAAGCTTTAGGAAAGATTTTGAAGATTTTGTCTATTTTGATGAGATTTATATCTCATAATTGAATGCATTTTGTTTGGGCTTCTTTCAGTTTTTTCATCTTAACAACATTAATGCAGGGCTTACAAACTCATAAATCAATTGCTTTTCAAGTGAACAAAAAATGACATGTCTCGTGGTTAGTGTAGACGGTAAATTCATTTTCTATTGTGCTTCGTTTGATTAATCTAGAATCTAACAAACATTCTGTAAGAAGTGATCACCAAAAATAGGAGAAACACATACACTCCCTCTCCTTATTAGTGAAATTGTTTTATGTATTTCAGTACTCTCTATAGGAGGAAAAGCAATCATTGTATAACACAAAGTTAGCATATGTTCATAAATGTTACAGATAGTAAAGTTTGTATATTTCCTAGTAGCATCAACAACTTTTTACTACCTGGATAACCTTTCTTTCATTCATTCAATAAAAATAAATTGAAGGGGGTACTCCTGGGTGGCTCAGTCCTTAAGTGCCTGCCTTCAGGTCAGGTCATGATCCCAGGGTCATGGGATCGAGCCCCGCATCGGGCTCCCTGCTCCGCGGGAAGCCTGCTTCTCCCTCTCCCTCTGCCCCTGCTTGTGTTCCCTCTCACTTTCTCTCTCTGTGTCAAATAAATAAAATAAAATCTTAAAAAAAAAATAAACTGAAGGGCTCAGTGGGACCAGGGTTCTGTTGGATACTAGAAATATGATGAAACACAGAGCACGACTTCTGCTCCGTGGAGCTTACAATCTCGCTAAGACAAACAGAAAAAGTCATTACAAGTGCTTTGAAGAAAGAGGGCAGGGTGCAACAGGAGCAAAAGGTCAATTACCCAGGCTGTCGTTCACTCTGACTTCTTGATTCTTCTTACATTTCAAAATTGAAGAAAGTGAGGATAGAAGCTACAGTAAATGATGGTATGCACGCATACCTATCTTCCAGGAAGAACATTATTCAGTCAAATAATTGTTCGTTTCTCAGTCCACCTGCCTGGAAGGTTTGCGTGCCTACCAGTGGTATTAGTGATGCCCCCCCCCCCCACCTTATACCCAAATCCTTAAAGAAGAGCCGGGAGTGGTACAGAAGGCATGACAATGTGGAAATGGATCGATTCGGTTTTTCACCTTTCAAAGGAATAAAACCTGGTTGGCGAACTGTAGAATGGAATCTCAGAGAGAAGAGCAGGGTAAGAAAGCCATAGCCTTGTGAGGAGCAGAGTTCAGGGTCTAATTCCTGTTGCCTTATCAGCTTCCAATTATACCTGCAGGGAGAGCTGATAATATCAACTGAGTACAGAGCTGGGGAACAGGAGTGCCTTGGCTACTTTACACTGACCTGGAAAATGTCAGGATAAATTACAGAACGGGGGCAGGGGGTAGGCAACTGTCCTTTTAGAAGTCTCAACGCTTTGTGGATATTGAGTTGTCACGAATTCACTGAGTAAGGATGGCTTGTAGATGGGGGTGAGGGCTGAGGGAAAGATTCAAGGACTAAGCTCTTAAAACGAGACAGGCATTTCCACATGTAACAGTTTAAAAGAGGCTGACGGTCCAGGCCATCATCTGAAATCTGAGATCATCTGAAATGATCTCAGACTGGCTGTTAACCTTCCCTAAAGCTGCTTTTTAAAAAATTTTTTATTAGGATAGGTAGCATCTCCTTTGGAAGACACAATCCCGCGCTGCGGCTAACCCTCTCGGCTGGCGGAGGCCAGCACGCGTGTGTGCGGTCGCCCCCTGCGCCGCGGCCCCGGCTAACCGGCACGAATCCTGCCCGCGCCAGGCGCTCCCTCGCAGCCCGCGGGGCGCGCGCGCACACAGGACCTGAGAGCGCGCTCCCGTCCCTCGCGAGCGCGCCCTCCTCTCCGCCCCCTCCCACCCCACGCGCTGGTCCTCCGCGCCCCCGCCCTTCCAGCGCTCCCACAGCCCGAGCGCCGCTCAGCTGACCGGCGGGCGCCAGACGCCGCGGCTTCCAGTTCGCGAGCACAGCTGCGGCGGCGCGAGCCTCTCACGCCGACACTCCCCCTGCGCGCCCCTCCCCCACCCGGGACCGGGATCGGGACCGACTGGGCGCGAGCTCGAGGCGGCTTCTCCGGCGCCGGGCGAGGAGCGAGGCTGCGGTGACGAGCGGCGGCTGCGCGGCCATGGGCGCGCCGGTGTCGCCCTAGGACAGGCGCGCGGAGACCGCATCCGGAGCGGCGAGCCTTCCCGAGAGGCGGCGGCGGCGGCGGCAGGAGCAGCGCGGCCGGGATGAGCGGGAGCGGCGCGGCGCCTGGCCCGAGCTCGGGCTCCTCCCCGACCGCCTGCCGCTTCGCGCACTACTTCGTGCTGTGCGGGATCGACGCAGACAGCGGGCTGGAGCCCGACGAGCTGGCGGGTAAGGCCGGGCTACGGCGGCGCGGCGGTCCCCTCAGGGACGCGAGGGACGCTGCGGGGACGCGCGGGAGGCGGGTCATAGACAAAGTCGGCTCCCGGCGGCGCCCGCTTTCCATCCGAACCGGCGCCCGGGCGGCGATTTAATGACATTGTTATTTATTCCGCGTGCAGGGTGCGCTGCTGAGCCTGCGGGCGTCGCGCCGCTGAGGGCGCCCGCCTCAGGCTTTGCCTCCAAGGCGCGGGGTTATTAATAACGGGGGCGGGGGCGGCGGCGGCCTCGAGAGCACGGCCCCCGCCCGGCACGCTCCCCCCCTCGCCCGCAGCTGCACGCGGAGGCGTCCGGTGAGTCACCGGGCGCGCTAACTCCCCGGCCTTGCCGCGATCCCGTGCATCCCACCCCCCACCCTCTCCGCCAGACTGCGAAGTTTCAGCCCTGGCACGTGACGCGGCGCTCAGGCCCCCCCCCCCGGGGGAGGCGGCGACACAGACCGCTGGGCGGCGGGGGTCGCGTCCACCGAGGCGGTGATGGCCTGCAGGGCGAGTGCAGGCGGGCGGCTGGTTGGACTTCATCCTTGACTGTTCCCGGTCTGCGCCCCTTCCCGCCTCGCGTTCGGCGATGACGGTGGAGTCACCTTTTGGAATGCTGTCTATTTGGCAGTGTCACGGGAGCTGGGGAGGACCTTTGATCGCTTGGGACTCGGCACGACGCTTTGTTGATACCACCTACACTGTCCCTGAGTTTAGTAGTTGGACCTTCGTCCCTCACTTGGGTGCACCGTGTGTTACTGCCGGGCTTTTCCTGGAGGGACACCGGTCCCTGCTCTTTACCCATTTGATGGCGCAGTGCAGGGCTGAGCTGGGAACCGATGCTGGGAAAAGGGGCCGTTAAAGGAAGATGGGGGGGGCGGGTAATGAGTGCGCAGTGCCGGGAAGAGGCCAGAGAGAAACGACCCATTTCATTTTTTCACGCCTCTTTCTTTCTGCTTGCCTTCTTGGGATCTGAGTCTTGATTTTTTTGTTGTTGTTAATGGATGAGACAAGTGACATCTATCGCCTGAACTTTATCTGTGTCAGTGTTAAACACTTAGGTCATAGCTTTCCAGAACAGCTTGCTTTGGACATAGCATGCCTTATTGCTTGCACCAATGTGTATTTTTGTTTTCTCTTTTACTTTTTGGGGGGAGGTAATAGAGGGGACTGGGAAGGATGTAGTAAATAATAAACAATAGTAAACAAATGTGTTCATCTGTAAGATACAGTACTGATCAACCCGTGTCTTAGCTAAGCAAATATCTTTTTAAGCCAGGCTCACAGCAAAACATTTTCAACAAAAACTGTAAGGCTAATTTTAGTTAAAGATTTTTAGAAAGGAGGGATGAGTACCAGGTTTTTCTGTATATGTAGTTATATAATCATGTTGTTTCTTCAATTAAGATTTCATGTACATATTAAGAATGGCTTTGTTAAGGGGTATGAAGTTAGAAAACATGTCTGCAGAGAGATTTGGAGAGATTCCTCTTTAGGGATTGAAGGGATTATTTTATTTTTCTAGAGTCCTTTCTCCCCTAAACATCCTAATCATTTGTAGTAAGGGGTCACTTGGAGGCCTTTTGTCAGTAGTGACTGATGAAAGGAAAAAGCTTGTATTTTTTTCTTTTCTATTTGAAGTTTATATGCCTAGTAAAGCTAAAACAACACCTGTAGGTGTGGCCTGGGACTCTTCAGGCACAGTGCAGATGGCTTTAACAAAATTAAGCAGTAAAAAATTAATTTCTGATTCATTTTTTAGACATTAACTGGCTTCTTTTGGAATACTATGCATGAGTGTGGATGCTTGTTTGAGATTTCTGCTCATAATATTTGGTGTTTTGAAGTGATCCTTTTGTCTGATGATAATTTCAGTATCAGTGATTCATTCAACAAAGAGTTTTGAAAGGCTTAAGGTGTAGATTGTGTCCAGGCCCTGTGGACAGCTGTGAACAAAGCAGTCAAAACTCCCTGCCGTAACAGTGCTTACATTTTAGTGTAAACAAATAATGAAAATATATAGTTTGCTAAATGTCAGTAAGTGCTATGAGGGAAAATAAAGCAAGGAAATGAGACTAGGGTAGTGCCAGAAGAATGGTGGGATGGTGGGATTGCAGATTTTAAATGAGATGGCTAGGGAAGGCCTCACAGAAAAGGTGACCTTAGAGTAGAGCCTTGATGGAGGTGAGGAAGCAAGCCATGTGGATTGTCTTGGGGAATAGCACTGCCGGCAGAGGAAACAGTGCATGCAGAGATGAGGTGGGAGAGTGCCTAGTTTGTACAGGTAACAGTAAGGAGGCCAAGGTAGTTGGAGCTGAGGGAGGAGGAAGGTAGTAGATGTGATCATAAAGAAAGGGGAGGGGAGATTGTGCAGGGCCTAATGGACAATTGTTGAGCTTTTACTCTGAGATGGGAAGCTACTGGGAAGTTTTGAGCAGTACAATGATGAGACTTGATGTACTCTCTGAAAGGATTGCTAGGCTGCCTTGTAGAGTAGACTATGTTAGGGGTAAGGTTAGAAGCAGACCAGCTGGGAGGCTCTTTTTTGGTATGTGAGGTGGGAGGTGTTGGTTGGCTTAGACCAAGGCAGTAGCAGTGAAGTGGTGAGAAGCTGGATTATTTTGGAGGTAGAGCCAGCAGGACTTGCTGATGAATTGGTTATGGTATTCATATTCAAAGAAGGTGATCAAAGATAACTCTAACATTTTTGGCCTAAACAATGATAAGCACCTCTATTTACAAAAAGTAAGAAAACTGATAGAGAAGCAGTTGGGAAAAGATTAGTTCAATTTTGGACATCTTAAGTTTGAGATATCCATTAGACATTCAGATGGAGATGTCAAGTAGGCAAGGCATCTCTCAGGGGTCAAAATTTTTATATAGACATAAATTGAAAGCCATGAAATTGGACGACATTACCCAGGCAGTGAGTGTAGGTAAGAAAAGAGAAGCTCAAGGGTTGAATCCTAGAGACACTTCCAACATTCAGAGGTGAGGAGGATGAAGAGGAAACAACTGAAGAGATTAGGAAGTATGGCCAGTAAGGTGAGAGGAAAGCAAGAGAATGTAGCTGTTACTAGCTAACCATCTTGACTGTTTCCACAGAGCTTCATTTGGGGAGGCGGACACAAGGCTAGTGGGTTAGGCAAATTAGTCAGGAGGTTGTTTCTGTTTTGCTGCATTAATTTCAAAGTTAAATATAGTTAAGTTTCTGTTTTACTTTTATGGAACTATAGACTTTTTCTTAACATATGCATGTTCCGAGAATTCACATTCTGCAGGTGGTGGAATAAATTTTGAAATTTATTGGTTGAAATAAATTTATTTCAATTGGTGGTTGAAATAAAATTAAGGACACAAGCCATATGATGAAGTTAACAGTTAAATAGACCAATACCTTATGATAAAGTTATCAGGGCTGTAGATTGTTTTTTATTTTTATTTTTTTTAAGGATTTTATTTATTTATTTGACAGAGAGACAGAGAGAGAGGGAACACAAGCAGGGCGAGTGGGAGAGGGAGAAGCAGGCTTCCCCCTGAGCAGAGAGCCCGATGCGGGGCTTGATCCCAGGACCCCGGGATCATGACCTGAGCTGAAGGCAGTCACTCAAACAACTGAGCCACCCAGGTGCCCCTGTAGATTGTTTTTTAGACAGTCATCCTAGTGAAGCCAGCTTTACCAGCAGTGGAAAAGACTTCTTTGGTATGTATATATTTCATAGAGTGACATACACACACATACTCCCGGTATACTGGTATTTCCTATTGTCCTTTAGTTCATCTTAGCTGTTGTGCTTCTCCTACTCACTGTATATTTTTAAAATTAATTTTATCCATAAACAAATATGTCCCTTTAGATATTAAAGTAGAAATATTTACATTTTCTTTAAGTGTTAAATATATGAAAAAGGTTTCAAATTGATGATTGCATAAAGAAGAAAGGAGGTGTAAATAGAAGTTGTTGGAATTAGTTGACATGTAGGAAGGCAGACATCATTTTGAAATTTTCTTTTATGCCTCTCATTTCCTCTAAGACCTAGCTGTAGGAATTTACATGGCTTGATTTATAGCAGCAAATCTTTTAGGCAACAGAGAAATTAAGGACCTTTATTTAAGTAACGTAAATATGCAAGCCCCCAAGAGGGAGCTTATGGTCTTTGCCTCTCTCTTTCATAGTACCTTATACGTAGTGTTTAATAAATGAATGAGTATAAAGTTTACATATGAGTCCACAAATTGTGTGGTGGCCAGAATATTCTTAAAGCGTTCCAGTGGTAGTTTGGGTTTAGTTCTGCAGAGGAGTATTGAATGAAGTATGATGGGTGCAATCCCTGCCACAGGCCCTTGTTTAAATCTCTTCCTTGGTGCCTGTATTTATTTTTAGCTTTGATTTTCTTGGGTGTGGTTTCCAGAAGAGCTTTGGGGCAGTGAAGACCATGGTCTAAATTCAAATATAGTTAACCCTTGAACAAAAGGTGGGGGTTAGGAGCGCTGACCCCTCCAATACAGTTGAAAATCTGCATATAACTTCTGACTCCCCCAAAACTTAACTACTAATAGCCTACTGTTGACTGGAAGCCTTACTGATAACATAAACAGTCCAATAATACATGTCATGTATATTACATAATTACATACTGTATTCTTATAATAAAATAAGCTAAAGAAAAAATAAGCTACAGAACTACTTTATTTGAAGATTTATTTATTAGAGCACTTGGACAAGTCGGGGGGAGGGGCAGAAAGGAGACAAGCAAGACTCCCTGCTAAGCAGGGAGCCAGACGTGGGGCTCAGTCCCAGGACCCCGAGATCATGACCTGAGCCAAAATGAAGAGTCTGACACTTAACTGACTGAGCCACCCAGAAGCCCGAGAAAAAAAATTTTTTTAAAGATTTATTTATCTATTTTGGAGAGAGCGAGTGAGCACACGTGTGTGGGGCAGAGGGAGACACTCTCAAGCAGACTCCCCACT